CAGGAATGCGTTACCTTACAGTGGGGACAGCACGAGAACAGGCACACATATATTTACCACAGCTCACTGGATGAGTGGTAACTCATGAATGCAGGGTAACTGGGACACTTTGGTCCTGTGATTGCACCTGTAAGACCTGCCCGTTTAGGCAGTGAAATAGCTTTTATGACCTTGACTTTTTATCATTTGCTCTGGCCGTTTTTATTCATGGAAAAAGGTAATGAAGAATGAGCTTGCTTTATAAGGGTGCTTCCAAGTGATTGCTTCTAATTCTCCACTTTAACTAAAGTATGTGCATCAGTAATCACCTCTAACGGGAAGAGAAAGACCACAGAGTAGTTTGGAGGCATATATATTTGCTCTCCTACCTTCCTCAGACCTCTGGCAGAGAGAGTTATATGGTCTATATGGGAATAGGAGCTGGAAGAGGGAAATGGCAGTTACAGCAGTGTATTGTGGAGAGGTGATGATCACTGTTGCTGTAGGAGAAGGGGTACCTTTTGTAACATGGGGCACAGAGACAGATGTGGTATCAAGTTGCACAACTAGCTGAGAAAGTCATCTCTGATCTCAGCCAGTTCTGCGGCTGCCTGATGCCAAGAGTTGCGTGTTCCCAGCTACTGAAAGAGGGAGAGGGAAGGAAAATGTCCCGTAGTGCCCTGTGGTACCCTTTGGAAGTAACGAGTAGAAAAGCAGTGTGCTGTTTGTGGGGTGGGGGTGAGCCTGGGCAGCCCTGCTGGAAGCCAGAGCAGCTCTGAGTTTTGGGGCACTGGAACTTGCAGCACCTCTGGGAGCATTTGGAAGGGTTTAGGGAAGAAGCTCCCGTCATCCACTATTGGCTCGCCACTGAATGCAGATGATTACGTTTTAAACACTGATGTGTAGATATAAACGTGCCACTGGCCTGCTCCAGAGCTGTAGGTCCTGTTCTGTTAGAGGTGATTTGTCAGAGGAACCGAGTATCTCGGTGGCATGAGCTATAATAGCGGAGAGCCACAAAAATAGGGCCGTTAATGAGGAGCCGTTTAGAGTTCACCCAAGGGCCTTATCTCCCAGGGTCCTGTGTAGTCAGCAGAGAGAGAGAGGTTTGGTCAAAGCAGACACCTAGCAGGGCTGTTCTGCATGCCCCAAAGGCCCCTTCTGTTTCCACTGAGTATGCAAAGAGGTTGAAGTGAGGAGCCTTCCTAGGCTAAAATTAGCTTTAGCGAATCCCCCTGTTAATGCCACGAGTTCCCAAGGACGTAGCCATCTTTAGTAATTCCTGTGTTCCTCTTCCAGGGGTTGGAATGGGCATGACTGCCCCTGTCTCCATC